AGGTGGGCCTTCATCCAGCAGTGGATTTAAGCACAAAAAAACTCGAGTACTAATGTAATGGACAGAGCACGGCTCTCCCTCAGGGCAGCAGTGGAGACAGTGCGGCTCTCCTTCAGGGCAGCAGTGGAGAGCACTGGGGTCCCTCAGGGCAGCAGAGGACGGAGCACGGCTCTGCCTCACTCTCACTCACCCGTCTCCTCTGAGCTGCATGCGATTGTGTGTGAGTGAGTGAGCCGTGTGTGAGTGGATCGACCGTCAGCTTCCTCACTCTCACTCACTCGTCTCCTCTGAGCTGCATGCGATTGTGTGTGAGTGAGTGTGAGTGAGCTGTGTGTATATGAGTGACCTGTGTGTGTGAGTGAGCTGTGTGTGTGAGTGAGCTGTGTGAGTATGAGTGAGCTGTGTGTATGAGTGAGCTGTGTGAGTATGAGTGAGCTGTGTGTATGAGTGAGCTGTGTGAATGTGAGTGAGCTGTGTGTATGAGTGAGCTGTGTGTATATGAGTGACCTGTGTGTGTGAGTGAGCTGTGTGTGTGAGTGAGCTGTGTGAGTATGAGTGAGCTGTGTGTATGAGTGAGCTGTGTGAGTATGAGTGAGCTGTGTGTATGAGTGAGCTGTGTGTATGAGTGAGCTGTGTGAATGTGAGTGAGCTGTGTGTATGAGTGAGCTGTGTGAGTATGAGTGAGCTGTGTGTATGAGTGAGCTGTGTGTATGAGTGAGCTGTGTGTATGAGTGAGCTGTGTGAGTATGAGTGAGCTGTGTGTATGAGTGAGCTGTGTGTATGAGTGATCTGTGTGAGTATGAGTGAGCTGTGTGTATGAGTGAGCTGTGTGAGTATGAGTGAGCTGTGTGTATGAGTGAGCTGTGTGTATGAGTGAGCTGTGTGAGTATGAGTGAGCTGTGTGTATGAGTGAGCTGTGTGTATGAGTGAGCTGTGTGTATGAGTGAGCTGTGTGTATGAGTGAGCTGTGTGAGTATGAGTGAGCTGTGTGTATGAGTGAGCTGTGTGTATGAGTGATCTGTGTGAGTATGAGTGAGCTGTGTGTATGAGTGAGCTGTGTGAGTATGAGTGAGCTGTGTGAGTATGAGTGAGCTGTGTATATGAGTGAGCTGTGTGAGTATGAGTGATCTGTGTGAGTATGAGTGAGCTGTGTGTATGAGTGAGCTGTGTGAGTATGAGTGAGCTGTGTGTATGAGTGAGCTGTGTGTATGAGTGAGTTGTGTGTATGAGTGAGCTGTGTGTATGAGTGAGCTGTGTGAGTGTGAGTGAGCTGTGTGTATATGAGTGAGCTGTGTGTGAGTGGATCGACCGTCAGCTTTCCGTGGCTGCGTCTCCGGCGCTGTGGCCGTGATGTTGCTGCTTCTCGGGCCTCCGAGGTGCGGGGCACACCACAACAACACGTAGTGGGCAGCTCGCGGTCACGTGACGCACTTCAACCAATCCGGGGGCGTACATGTTTTGGAGGGGCGCACCTCTGGTTGGCTGCTTGCTCGCGGTCACGTGATGCACTTCAACCAATCCGGGGGCGTTAATCACAGTCACAGAATGACAGATCTGGGCTATTATCTTTGTGTATATGCAAATTGTTTTTAGTATATATTTTTTAAATGGTCATCAGGAATTATTAGGAAACATGTGCCATATATGATTCTCATCAGGCTCCAGTTCACAACTATTGTCTCATTTATCTCTCTGGCCTCTCTATTTATATGATATACAGATGGTCCATTGCCCGAAATGCTGCCTGTTATATACTCTTCCTTTGACGAATGTGTAAACTTTTTTTCACCTTAAACCTGGAGCCGTGGTCTATCCACTGCTCGATGAAGGCCTCTTTGCAATCCCATAACCATCTCTCGCGGCCCTGTGACGTCAGGGATCATCTCGCACCCGTACACATGTGGAGCTGACCCCCAGCGTCTCCAACTCCGGCGTGAGATGTGCATGCGCGGAATCTCGCGCTTAGGAGGAATTCATCACAGCACTTACGATGCATATGTGGTTTCTCCTGCTCGCGCCTCCGAGTCGTCCCTTCTCTCTCTCTTTCCGAGTCATCCCCTCTGTGTCTATCTCTGAGTTGTCCCTTCTCTCTGCGTCTCTACGAGAGTGATGAGCGGACACTACGCGGCGGCGGCAAGGTGTTACAAGTTTAAGTGTGTATTCTTACTTATATTGCAAACTAAGGAAATGTATAACGTAAGATACTTTACGTAGCCGACCACAAGTGGTAATTTGGGGGCAGCTACCTCCCCCTCTATTTCCTGGGGGGAGGGGTGGGTGGGTGAGAGGGGGGCCCAATTGAGTCAAATTCCATGGGTGGGTGCATGGCATGCGAGAAGAAACGGGAATACCAGGGGAAGCCCCAAGCGTGAATCACCTTCCTTTCTGAGCACTTACAGCTTACTCGACGCGAGCATCAGCGTGACCGGTTGGGTTGACAAACTTATCTCCCTTCTCTCCCTACATGCGGAATCGTTGTCGCGCTCGCGTGGACGATCGAGTGGGAACGTGAGCGGTCATGGGATTACTCCACCAAAGAACGATGGCTTTGCCCATTAGATGTACGTGGTATCTTAATGTATTTTCCATCATAATTGTTTGTTGTCCTTCCTCCGCACCTCTGGTTAGCACGGTTTGGCTACGTACGGTGTGAAAGAGGTTCAACATACATCATCACCACCATAATCATCAACATCATCGATGAGGTCGGCGTTATAACGGGCAGGTTCCCGTTGACAAGATCATTTTGCGGGGTAGCCAGGATATGGCAGCATAGCAAATGCATCTTGAGTCTGTCTTTGCGGCGCTGGGGCGGATTATACCCCTCGTGCACGTAGGTATGCCGGTTCCCTTCACCCGCACGCGAAGCCAAACAATCATTAATAATAACAACAAAAACTGTCAAGCATCGCAATGCTGCAGAAAGTGCTTAAAATAATAATCTTGAAACTCAGCGCAGCGGTTCCTGGATAGATAGATTACTATTATTACCACCGTTAATATCTAATCCAATTCAGAATCATCAGACCGAGAGTGACTGTGACCGCACACGTGGGCGTCGGGACGACGTTGGTGCCTGCGTGTGAAATTGTTTAATGAGAGAGCGCCATACAATGGGTGCCAAAGGATAACCGGGTACAGGCACTATTGTGTAATTGGCATCCAATCCTAAGAGGGAATAACATCTGGGCCAAAGGTGACGGGCAGAGTCGGGAAGGATGCTTCGGGAACCATCGGGAAGTTTCTTCGAGGGGGTCGTGGCTAGAGGCGGAGCGTAGCTCCGCCGGGGTGAATATAAGCAGAGGCAGGGGAGGAGGGGACTCGTGGTCGGAGTGGGGAGCCTTGGGTCCGGACTGCGGCGCTGCTCGTCAACTCCTCTCTGCGCCACCGGAGCTGTGCAGTAACCACAGTTAATAAAGAAACTCTGACAAAGATCGTCGTGGAAGTCGTTTATTACAATTGTAACTCCATCCCAGCACCGCGCTCCCCCCAAGCTCATCGGACCTCCCTCGCTCCCTCCGTCCCTCCCTCTCCTCCGCGCTCCCCATAACAGCGGCACTCCACTGCACTCGCCGCACCACTCAATGCCCACCGCTCGCTCGCCACGCCACGGTGCAGGCGAGTCTCCCTGTAAATAGCCGCGCGCGGTCAGTCGACCTCTGCTCTCGTCTCCTCTCCCGACGACGAATCACTGCAACGAGGACAGCGATGAAAGAACGGAGAGAGCCCCCCAACTGACCACTCTGAAGGAGGCGGGGGGGGGGGCTGCGTAGGAGGGGGGGGGTATTGTCTGGTAAGAGCTGGTGCGAACACGCACGCACACGCACTGGCCTCATTACAACGATGGGGTAAAGTTCTCTCCGCGTTATGTAATACGATACGTGATGTCAGCTAGCTGGCTCTCAAAATGTGCTCTATGGTGCCCAGATATATATTTACAGTGTGTATACTCGTCACGCCTCTGAGTAGATCGCTGGCGTTGTTTTATGCTCATTTCAGCAGTTCGCTTTCAATGGTTTGCGCCAATTATCCTACTTTTATTCTTGTGCTTAATCGTCTACATTACCACTTTAGTCTCAATGGGTAAACCCGCGTGGTTTAACGGTCAAGTTAATGTTGATCTGCGTCTATACGCGTGCCAGTTATAAGGGGCCGTCCATAAATGACGTCACGCACCTAGGGGGGGGGGGGGGTCAGACATTTGTGACGATGTGTGACATCACATAAAAATGCGCAACTTTAAATAAATATAGACAACACGTTCTACTTAATTAAATAGACTTTTTAATACATGTTTTCTCCTACAACATCAAAGTGTAGCGCCACATTAAATACGCACTACAATAACAATAGTTTAAAACGATTTGAAGCATGTTTTTTTTTTGGGGGGGGGGGGGTCTGACTTTTCGTGACGCCGTCTGACGAAAATCGTCCAAAATCGCGTGACGTAATTTATGGACGGGACCCTAAGCACACCTGTTCGAGTCATGCTCACCAAAATGCGTGCCGTGTTCGTGCAGTCCCGCGGGAGCGTCGCTATGCGTAGCGCAACGTGCGCTTTCATAATTGTTTTTACCCGTACGCAAGCAAACTGAACGCGTGTTATATAAATACTGAACACCTCCCCCCCCCCTCACCTCGACGCTTTCATTCAATAGTTACGCATGATGACTCAGACGCTGAATAAATGCAAGTTATGGACATTAATATTGATTTGGCAACCAGTGCCATTTTACCCAGGACCGTCAATTAATTCCCCCGGGGACGCTGCTCGTCCGAGCGAAGGGTGAACCTCACTGTCCTTTTGGCATTTAAACAGAGGGGGTGAGGGGGGAGGGCAGTGAAGTCTCCACCTTCATTCGCACTCCTCATCCGAGGCTTGGCTTTTGCGCGACGCGCTATTCGAGCGCCGCGTGGGTGTTCCTCTCGTCTGCTTCAGCTCGCTGCGGCAGTGCCACCGGGCGGCCATGGAGGATTGGACGGGAAGAGGAGAAGGCGAACGAGGATGAGGCGCACCGATTTCAAGAAGCTGAGTGGCCGCCGTTGTTCCCGCGGTGTTTCCATGATGAACGCACCGCGTGTCCACGCATTGACTATCACCGTCGCCTTGTTCTCGACACTTTAAAAGCAGACGACTCTATTAACAAAATTAATAATCGTAATTACAGTCGAGTGGTGGTCTCCGTGGCCTATGCCATTGATGCCACCGCATCTCGCCATCGCTTCCTTCTGCCCCAATCGCGCATCTGTTCCACAGTCGTCAACCCGGTCGACTGTGCTCCCACGCCTTCACAGTTTCATCACCATCATCATTACCACCACTACCCACCCGGCTTTGGCTCTTCCACCTCCGATTCGTAACTTAACAAGGCGCACGTGCTCATCACTCACCCAATCACACCCGAATGCAATCATGAGCGGCCTGGACTGCACGGCTATCGAGTCGTTCCTTGACAATCACCCGGATGTGTTCGAGGACTACCTCCTGCGCAAAGGCACCTGCAGCTCCGTGGAGAAGTGGCTCAAGCTACACAACCAGGCGGCCGCGCAGCAGCAGTCGCCACCACTGCCACCACTACCATCGCCGCGTGTCCCGCTCCTGCCCAAGTCTCCCTGCAGCCCAGGCAGGGCACTGGCGCCTCCTCCTCCTCCTCCGCAGGTCGGCGAGACAACTCCCACTCCGTCCGAGGAGTTCAGCAGGGCGCTGTCCATGACGTTGGACGGCGCCCTGCAGAAGCGCGCGTCGCAGAAAGAGCTGCGCCGCTGCTTCGCGCGCTCCAAAGCGATGACGGTGCACAGGACGTATGACGAGCAGGCGAACCCGCGCGAGCAGGAGTCCCTCTCGAGCGTGCGGCGCAGGGCGCTGTTCCGCAAGGCAAGCTCCCTGCCGCCCAGCACGGCGCACATCCTGAGCGCCCTGCTGGAGTCGCGTGTGAGCTTGCCGCAGTACGCCAGCGCCGCCATCGACTGCAAGTTCCGCCTGAAGGAGAGCAACGAGCACGAGTTCTTTCTCGAGATGGTCAAAGATATCTCCAACGACCTGGACCTCGCCAACCTGAGCCGCAAGATCCTCGTCAACGTGTGCATCATGGTGGAGGCGGAGCGCTGCTCGCTCTTCCTGGTGGAGGGCCCGCCGCGCAAGAGGACCCTCGTGTCAAGGCTCTACGACGTGCGCGCCAGCTCCGCGTTCTTCCCGTGCGGCAGGTGGGGGGAGACCTCGAGCGAGGTGCGGGTGCCCTGGGGCAGTGGCATCATTGGCTACGTGGCGGAGCACGGGGAGACGGTCAACATCCCGGACGCTTACGAGGTAACAGTGGCGGTGGTGCTGGCGGTTAAAGTAGCGGCGATGGCGTTGGTGGTCGTCGTGGTGGCGTTGACGGTGGAAGTGGTGATGATCATGGTATTGGTGGTGGTGGTAGTGATGACATTGATGGTGGTAGTGGTGGTAGTGATGACATTGATGGTGGTAGTGGTGACATTGTTGGTGGTCGTGGTGGCACTGGTGGTGATTGTGTTGATAGTATTATTCGTGGTGGCAGTGATGGCATCAGCGGTGGTAGTGATGACATTAGTGGTGGTGTGGTTAAGAATGCCATCCGTCCTGCTTTTCGCAGGATCGTCCTCTCTTTTAAGATAGGTGTTATGAGCAAATCTGTGCGTTTTAAGCGTTCAACCTGAAAAGTCGCGGTTATTGTCAGTTGCATGCAATCCTCGCCTCTTTCGCTTTTGTGAGATATTCTTCCCGTGATACGTCCCTTTTTATTTGTACCTCAGGGGTGGCAACCCCGGTGGTGATGGTGTTGGTGAGCTCTCATCTTTTTTCCCATGTTAATTGTCCGTGACTCTACTCACCACCAGGTCGAATGGTGAGGCGGCCGGGTGGTTCACGGGTCAGAGACACTGCTTGGCTACTACTGAGATCCTGAGTCCAATTACGGATAGAACCCTCCCCCCCCCTGCACACACATGACCACAAAACCACTTTTAACTTCGTTTTCTATTTAATTAGAATAAATGCCAGCTCTGAGGATGTAACATTTTTAGTTTGATAAACAGAATCAGATTATTTATTTATATTGGAGGAATCCGAAGAGCGATGGAGCTCTTTTGCACGTGCCGAACAATGTTGGCATGGCAGGTAAACGGTGTTGCCCCTTGTGTGGACAGAAACCCGTGACTGAGGTGACCTCAGAAGTAGTTATGATGGAACGTCATCTATGGGGATGGCAGGTGGGGAGGAGGAAATTGGGGGTAGGGAGTGGTTATCAGCTCCACGCTTATTTGATATTTGTAAAAAAATATGTAATTTCAGCCAAAATTGAAAACAAACTTACGTGCGCGTGTAAATATATATTTTTTTACACGATGTATTTTTGTGCCGATGCCATTTGGCAGCATACGAGGAGATCCAGTGTGTTAAACACATGTCACGAGGCGTGAAACTCGTGCGTCGCTTGCGTTCTGCTCCGGCATGAGAGCGGCATGCGGGTGAGGAGCAGCTTCCCTTGTGACCACGCTTTACTACGTACGGTGCGAAAGAAGTTAAACACAGACACAGACACATACATACTGGGAGAAGCCAGAGTGTCGCCAGCTCCCTGACACATTCAACGACACGGAGTTTGAATCATTCCCATTTACTTTATAAACTATCAACTATTTTTTTTTTTTTAACAGGTAAGGCCCACTGAGCTATATAGCTCTTTTTTCAGAAGCGACTTTGCTACAAATGATAGCCCAATAAAGTGGCTTATCATGTGGACATTTCTAGGAGCTAAATATTCTAAACGCAAGTTGATCCTGAATGTGGAGGGAAAACCCGGAGGACCCGGAGAAAAATCCACGCGACTACGGGGAGATAGAGAGAACATGCAAACTCCAAATATACAGGAGGCGTCAGGGTCGGGATCGATGAAACCATGCCAATTCGCACCCACAAAGGGCCGGCTTCTCTATCGGCGCACGGGTGTCGCTCTGCACCGCATCGCCTGCACCATCGTTTGCTGGTAAAGCTGCAACCCTGATATTACTTGGTCATGCTACCGCGAGAGGGAACTCTTACAAAGCCCCTCGAGTTTACATTTTGACTTAAAACTTTGGTGACTGCCAAAAAATTATATTCTTTGGTTCTTTAGGTAAAGTCACGTAGATAGAAAAAAAATAATGAAATAAAGTTAATAATAAAAACAATACTGTAGCCTAGATCTTAATCGGAGTGAGTGTACTCACAGTCTATAATGTAGACTGTAGCCTGAAAAAAAAGACACGACGTTTCGATCGCATCACAAGCGGTCGTGTGCTGAGCATTAGACCACTGTGACAGTATCCCCAGCGTTTACTCTTCTTCTTCCACGCGTGTGTCCCACTCATGTGAGGTCCGCTGTCCTTGCCAACCTCCACGCTGCCCTGTCCTGCAGCATCTCTCTTTCCGCTCTCGGGCCACCGTGTCCGATTGCACCACATCCCCCCCCCGCCCCTCCTCTTCTTCAGCTTTCCTCTTGATTTCTTTCCTTCCCACTTGCATCACTTGCACCTTCTGACCCACATAATTTTCCTGTTGTCTCTCCACATAACGGAACTACACCAGAGCCTTTTCTCTCTCATCTTCTCTGTAATTTATACCACCTTGGGTCTTCCTCTCACTTCTTAATTTCTCATCCTGTCGTTCATTGTTAAACCCAACATCCACCGCAACATCCTCATCTCTCCGACTTCCATCGATTGGTTCTCCCTCTTTCTTTTGCCCCAGCACTCGGCCCCATACAACAGCACCATCCTCACCACCGTCGTGTACTATACACTACACTATACACCAGAGGTGGGACAAAGTCATTGTTATGCAAGTCCAAGTCGAGTCTGAAGTCATCAAATTCATGACTCGAGTCTGACTCGAGTCCAAGTCACATGACTCGAGTCCACCCTCTGCTATACACTCCTATACACTACACACTTTTACCTTCAACTAAACTGGGGCCCTCTTATCGCACACCACACAAGTCATCTCTCGCAATTTCAGCCATCTAGCCCTTATTCTTAGGTTTTTTCGGTAAAGTCACGTAGGTAAAACATCAAAATTAATAAAAATAAAATAAAATAAAGATCACGACGTTTCGGAGGCAACACAAGTCTCCGTCATCAGGTGGGGCCGTCACAGCCAGATTAGCTGTTTTAATTAATTTTGATGTTTTACCTACGTGACTTTACCGAAAAAACCTAAGAATATGAATCCTTGCAGTCACGAAAGCTTCAAATCTACATCTAGCCCTTGTTCTTGTTCTCATTTCTCCTTTTAGTGAACCATCAGCACACATTGTTGCACCCAGGTACTTAAACTCATTCGTCTTCATTAACTGGTCACTTCCATTTTTCGATTTAAAGCTTTGGTGACCGCAGGGATTCATCTTCTTGGTTCTTTCGGTAAAGTCACATTCTACGTGACTTTACCGAAAGAACCAAGAAAATGGTCACTTCCAATTTGCAATCCTTCTGCATTATTTCCACTGAAATTTGCCACCACGTACTGCGTCTTTGTCCGACTGATCCTCAACCCATTCTCTTCATCTTTTGCACCCAGATCTTCAAATCATCTTCCACTACCACTCTACTCTCACTGCATAGCACAATGTCGTCAGCAAACAGCATACACCAGGGGGGCTCCCTCTAAATATCTCTCATGAGTGTGTCCAGCACCAGGCTGAACAGGAAGGGGCTCAGGGCGGAGCCTTGCTTCACTCCCCCTTTGACTTGAAGCTCTCAGACGCTCCATAGCTGCTTTGCACATGCATTTTTGCTCCTTCATACATATCCTGGATCAGCCGGACATTTACCTCAAATACGTCTTCTTCTCATCCACCGCCAGATCAGCTCTCTCGGCACCCTGTCGTACGCTTTCTCTAGATCAATAAACACCGCATGCAAGAGCCGTTTATTCTCTCTGAACTTCTCCATCAATACTCTCAGTGCAACGATTGCATCCATTGTTGACCTTCCCTGTCTGAATCCAAACTGACTCTCGCCAATAATCACCAGCTTCCTCAGTCTCCATTCTATGATCCTTTGCCAGAGTTTCATGGTGTGACTCGTCAATGATATTCCTCTGTAGTTCCCACACTGTTGTACATCACCTTTCCCTTTAAAGATGGGAACCAATGTCCTCTCCCTCCACGCATCCGGCATTTTCTACTCAATCCAGGTTGTCCCAAATAGCCCCATCAATATTTCAACACCCCTTTCTCCCATAAATACGCACACATCACATTTACAACCCCACTGTCCAGTACCAGTCTGACTATCATCAGTATGTCATTTTCTCTTCTGACTTCTATCAACCTTTTTCTTCATCTCCTCACTCGGCACAATTCCAACCACATTTTTCCTTGTTGTTAAATGGTATAACAATTTAAAACCACGGTAAATCTCTTTCGCTCTGCCGCCTTTCCATTTTGTTTCCTGGATGCATGCGATGTCGACTTTCCTCCTCCTCAAGCAGTCCGCTAATTCCTGACCTTTTCCTGTCATTGTTCCAATATCCCATGTGGCCAACCTTATCTTCCTCGAAAACAACCTTCTGCTCTTTCCATTCGTTTCTTCACCTTGATTTGTGCAGACACCGCACTACCACCGCCCGGGTCTGCACTCCCAGCAGCGGCAGTCACTGGGTCCCGAGATTCTTCGCACACTGAGGGACATTTGTTTAGGACTTTCCAATTTTTTGGCTTGAGGGTTGTACGGCCGGTTACCACCAGACGCCAACCCTCCTCCTTTATCCTCGCTATCAGACATAAACGTCGTGATTTATTTTATTTTATACCTACATGACTTTACCGAAAGAACCAAAGAGTTTGGATTATTGCAGTAACGAAAGCTTCAAATCAAGATAAATGTATGTGTTTATACATAATCTCATGTCCGCCGCTCTCGCAGTGAGACGTGATGACATGCTGCGGAGATGCCGTGAAACGCATTGGCGAGGGCTGGTGTCCCCCTTTCCGGCTAGGATAAGCCAGCATAAGCCACAGGGGGTGCCTGTCACTCGCCAGGGAGGTGGAACTTCTCCCGTGCAGGGCTGCTTGCCCCCCCACTTTCCCCACGTCGTTAGAAGACCACGTGCCCGTTACCGGCAGGGCATTATGTGGCCCTCGCGTCACTGATGCGGAGTGCGCGGGTTGTTGCTCTTGTTTTTCTCGAGTTCAAAGGCCAGGATGCCAGCAAATGCAAAACAACACGTCAATTCAATTGACGGCGCGGATTGGGACTAGGATGAGACGCAGAGTAGTAACATTGCGAGCAGTGTTTAAAGCCAGTGCC